TGCCTGGAATATTTGTTTGGCTCCAACGAGTGACCCCTGATGTGACCACAGAGAGCTGTATTTGAGCAGTCAGCTGAGGGACTCAGGAGAATTTGGGCACCTACTGGGATGCCTCCCTTCAGGAGGATGAGGAGTGATTCAGGCCAACTGCTTGCTAAATTTTGTACATCTTACAAACAGTGGTGGAAAATAGCTGCTTTTAAGAGTGGTAGAGAGGGTCCAGGAGAGGTCTCTGCTCCTCTCCAGGCTTTTGGAAATGGTAAAGGACATGAGGCTAAAGAGGGATGCCTGTGAAACAGAGCCTTGTTTTGCGCACATATGTACATGTGCATACACACAGGAACATGATCCAGGGATCAAGAGTTATTACTTCTAATAGTACCAAACTGCACCTTAGTAAAGCTGTGGGGCTGATTGCCCCTGTGAATGTCTGAGTTCTGCAAAAGCATTTTTATGTTACTTTCAAAGAACAAAGCAGGCAGTAAGGACATCAATACCTCAAGTACTTTAAATGTGTATTCAATATTATTTGTGTGAATTCTTCAAATTTAATTTCTAATACAGTTAGACACCTACCTGGGAAATTTCCAGTCTCACAGTTTCAGACAGAGGTCTCTCTGGCCTGTTAGCTATAATGCAATCTATCAGAGAAGGCTGTCAGCCCCTTGTCTCTTAAATACTTGCAGAATCAAAGAAAGACATAGCATCAACCCCCTCCCCTTACACTGATTTTTTTTTAATAGCATTTGGATTTTTCAAAAATACTTAGGGCCCAAGTTGGAGGAAAAATTCTTTATCAAGCAGAACTGCATGTCCTAGAGGGCTTAATCCCATTTTAGGCAATTTCAGTAAGAAACTACTGCCTTTAAACATGTAGGACTAGTTACTGAAAAAACACCCACAGGAGGGAGCTCAGGGGCCTCTCTTTTCTCACATGAGGGACTAAGTACTGAAGTTAGACACACAGAGCAACAGAGCATCAGACTATTGCTGTGGGAAAGTAACTCTCTTTTATTTCTCTCCTCTTTCACGAAAATATTCTGGCTGCAAGTTACACAGTGCTGCCTGAGCTTCAGGGCTTCATGGTAAATCTGCAAGGACTTGGTGGACAGGTCTCAGCTAAGGCTCATACAAAAGCCCAGCACAGGCTGTGTTGTTCCATGGATGTCAGCAAATTTAGCCTCTCTTTTACTGCCTTGAGCCCTGTGAGAGCAGTTTACAAAAGCCCCGATAAAGGCCACTGAGAGACGGCCAGACTCAGGAACCCTTGTCTTGCAGCAGTTCTTCAAGATCAGCAGGCAGGGTGAGGTGCTGTAAGGAAGGTCAGGGGCCACATCTCCAGGAAAGCAGTGAGTTCTTCATTTTAGTGATCCATATAAAGGTTGAACCAGCAAACTGGTTTTGTGTCTGTGCAGCTTTAAGTGCTTAACAGACCCACTGAATCTGGGAGCAGAATAAATAAAATTTGATAGGCCATGGGCTCTTTTGTCCAGGCAAATCACAGATTATTTCTGAATGGCACAAACTGCAGTGGCATTATAAGGCTTTTCTTACAAGCAAAGGGTACCACCAAAACTCTGGTGTTTCCTTCTGGTCTCCATGAGTACAGTCAATCCAGCTGAACCAGAACACCACCACTGCTGGGGACAGGTGGCTTTCAAAAGCCAAGCTGGACTCAGAAATTTAATCGAAAGGAAGGAGGGCATAGGGTGGCGACAGTCAAAAACATGTATCACATCTCATCTTGAGCAAACCACAGGATGATCACAGCTGAACCAGCCTTTCTGTGGGGGATGCCAGTGCCTGAAGGATGAGGTGCAGTGAGGGGGAAAAAAAGGACAAAGCCTTCTCATTCAAGTCCTAACAAGAGGATGCTTTAGCAAAGAAAAAGCCCCAAAACATTATCTAAAAAAACTGGGCATTGTCCTCCCTGTTGTTCAATTTAAGAAGCACTTACACAGTATTCTGACTTGAAAAACAGAGCTTAATTATCCAGTGGTGTCAGACTAATAAATCAGGAAGCCAGTTCATCTCCAAGCACTATTTAGACTCTTTCTCACTATGAGCCAGATCCTGTAGTTTTTACCTGAAGCTTCATTTTCATTTGCTTTAATACACCACCTGAATTTTACTGTGGGTAGCACCTGAGTGCTTCAGTCAGCACTTAGTTGCCTAAAACGCTGACAAAAAAAAGTATCAAAATATAGATTTATGACTGACTTTGAGGCACTTAGTTTTGAAGAATAGCTCCTCCTTTTCTTAAATGTTAATATGAAGATTGCCTGACAAAGCCAAAAGGAGAATTTGAAAATTTAATTCATTGTTTAATATCAAGTTCTAGTTATTTACAGGTATGTTTTGTCTTGTCATTCATAATTTCTGTTTTATTCTTTCCATGCATTTATTCAATTCAGCAGTTCAGTTAGATAATGTTGAATTCACCTCAACATTTATGCCTGGCAACAGCCTTTGAGGTCACAAGGTGATGATTTCGTTAGAGGAATCAAGCAGAAGTGGAGGGAATATGGGGGGTGAGAGGGGGAAAAAAGCTTTTGTCGAAACACAAATATCTTCTGTGAGACCACTTTGAGCAAATATAGCTCTGGCACTGTGCTAGCAAGGGGAATGTGGGAATGAATATCGGCCAAGCTCTTCTCCCACTGTAAATATTCTCTTTTTTGCTAAATCTCTCAGGCAAGGTCTCTGTTCAACCCCCTCCTCTCTCCTCACCAGAGGACCACGGTCAGAGCCAGGCTGTCCTGCCATGTCCCAGCCAGCCAGTCTAGCCATTTGCAGCCATGCAGGAGTGCTGCAAACTGCACCCAAATTTCATGACACAGCCCCCTCATTTTGCACTGGCAGAGGAGACCAGTGGCAGCCCAACCCAGGGGGAGGTGATGCTGGATATAGCAGTGACCCTCCAAACATTCTCAATTCCTTAGACAACTGCATAACTCTGCTTGTGTGCAGCAGCCTCTATACCCGTGCTTAGAGGTCATGCATATTTTGCAGTACAGTTATTTGGTTATCAAAGGTATTGCTGATGTTTCGGATAAGGACTGGAATTTTCTATATATAATTAACAGTAGGGGGTGGTGCTTTTTTGGATAATGGGATCTTTAGATGCTGGAGGTTGAAAGAGAGTGGAAAAGGGACGCACATATGATCTTTCATACAAAGTAGTCTGGTGATAATGCCCAGCTCATGCTCCCTTCGCTCGCCCTTTGATGTTCAGACCATGCATCAGATGTGAGAAGAATGACTGACAATCCTGAAACAGTGCATGGTGTCTAATGAGCTCACTGGGGCTCATCACTCCTGGGTTTGACATTTTAATCTGAGCCCCTCAGCTTCCAGCACTTTGATTCACCCTTTTGTTTGCCCACAGCTCTGTGTCATTGAAAACTGGCCATCTCCAGAAGACAGAGACAGTCCTTCCCAGGAATCACAAACCTCTTTAGCTGGTGTCTGCAGTCATACCTGTCCCTCATCGCTTTTCACTACTGACTGCCATCCTACTCCAGGATTTGGCTTGCAAGGCCAGTGTCTGTCACCTCTGCATTCACACCCCCCTGCATATGCACCGTCAGGTGGCAGAGGCAAAGGAATTTGGTTTTGCCTGACCAGCAACAGGAACTCCAATGTAGACCACAGGAGGACAGTGACTCCAATGTAACCACAGGAGGACTGGCCTTGGGAGTTCCCTGCAATGGCAGTGTGCATCCTTGAGCTCCTGCACATGGCATTTGCTGCAGAAAAACTGGATGGTGTTGAACAGATGGACTGAACCCTATTCTTGGATAGGACTCCCCATCCTTACCATGGGGCTCTGCCAGACATTGCTGTGCATGGGAGCCAATCCAGCCTATCCCAGGGAATAACTGTGGGACTATGCATGCAGGGGCTACAGACCATGAATCCTTACACAGCAGAGGTGCTCTCAACACCTTCATGACTTCTATCAAAACAATGGCTCCGCTGGTTTTATGTGAACATCACAGACATGCTGCTGTCTGACTGGATGTGCTGCCATTTAAGGAGGGAAGAACTGAAGTATTAGACAAGAACAGTTATATTGTTTCCTTGCAGACACAAGAGACAGTGAGTGAACCTTCCTTAACATCTCATGTTAATGGAGGAGGAACAGAGTTTCTCTGCAAATACCAAATGCCATTCCCAAACTTCGGATCCCCTGTTATTTTGAGATCCTTATACCCTACTGAATGCTGCAATTCATTCATCTCCTCGAGGCATTTCTTTCTGCAATGGTCCTGCAGGGGAAAGCAGCTCATGGCCTCGCTTCTTGCAGAGAACCACTAGCTATCCATGCTCTGCAGCACCCCACAGCTCTGATGTCCTGTAGGACAGCTTCTTCTATGGACTGTGGGCTTGTGCTAACCCCACCTCAGCCTCGTACATCCTTGTGTGAGCACAAAGGACAAGTGGGCAAAGGGACCAGCTGCCAAGCCAAATGGTGAGTCAGACAGGACACCGAGTAGCAGCAGATCATTAAGTAATTGAAACACAGCCCTTGCCATTGAATGGGTAACACTGGGACTCAGACTCTGCCTTAAACTTCCTACAGGGACATCAGTGTGATTCCCCCATGTTTGGGATTGCCTACCTTTAAAAGGCAAAATAGTATTTGCTCAATGGCCTAAGAGTTATAGATGAAAATAAGTCCTAGGTTCAGTCATCATTTTGGTGGCTCTGGTTTGGTACGTGAATATGTCTAAGTTAAGTTAAGAAATGTTTCCATTTAGTATGTGGTTTTCTAATATTTGATTAGTTTTTAGAGGTTGAATAATGGCTTTTGTGACAGATGTGATGTGATGTGATGTGATGTGATGTGTCACCTTTCTAGGCTTTTAGAGGGTAATAGTGAATCTCATGACCTTTCACTTCTCAAGAGTCACTCAGACACTGAACTCTGATGACATACGGTGCAAATAATCATTTCAGCTGGCTAGGGCTGGATATTCCCAGCATGGCATTTCAGATCCAGTTCACTTTTCAATGGTTTATTTATAATTTCTGCTAAACCACAGTTAAAGTCATCCAGCACTTGGCTGCTAGATCAGTAACAGATGACCCTTGCCAACGGCACAGTTTGTTTTGAAGGCCAGTATAAGTAGGAAATTGAGAATAAATTGATAGGTTAAGAGGTTGTATGTGGGAACTGATGCCCATCCTTTGTCCAAACGTCAACTTCCAGAGCTCAGTGCTGTCATCCAGCTGACCTTCCTCTCTGTTCCCCTGCTGCCCATGGCCAGCAGTAAAAGCTCTCTAGTCAGAGCTGAGCCTGAAAAAGAAGAAACTCTCAAAAATATCCTTTCAGAAAAAAAGAAAGGCTTCTCGAAAACAAGTCCTCTCCCTTTCTCCTTTGTGCACCGTGGTACCAACATCCACCATCCAGCACCCCAGGGTATTTTACACTTCAGCTCTCAGATTCAATCCAGCCTGGTTAGTCCTGTCCTTGCTGCAATCGTGTGCTGGGAGCATCGGCTTGACTCTGGATTGTTTCTTGGGAGTCTTTCCCATCGGCAGCACGCCAGTCCCCTCCCTGCTGTGGCATCGCGCCCCTAGGAGTTGCATTCCTCGCAGTGGCAGGAGAGGATGTAGCGGTAGGTGGCCGTGAGCCGCATGCCCCCCGAGCACCGCAGCCTCATGGCCTTCAGCTTGGAGGTCTGGGGGCGGCAGCAGTGGCAGGTGGAGCGGAAAGGTTGCTTCAGCACCGCGCTGAAAGACACCAGCGGCTCCGAGCGCGACGTCTGGCTGCAGCGCCCCTCGCAGCGAGCCAGCAGCACCATCTGCGAAGGAAAAGAGACACGGGTTAGGAAACGTGCCCCCTCTCGGCTGCTAGAGCGCAGGGGACACCAGCAGATGGCTACCACCTTCCAGCCTGTTTTTTTATCACAGCATCCCACCACCCCGGTGAGGGCACCCAGCCCCACGCAGTGGTTTGCCCCTGAGCTGTGTCTGAGAGAGCAGAAGAGATAACACGGGCAGGAGGAAAAGCAAGGACTCCTCCTGGAGTCTCTGGCACTGGGGCGACCTCAGGGCTCCAAATGATCACAGCCACCCCCGCTTTCCAGACGCTGTGGTTGCAACTGTGACTTTCTGACCCCAGATTTGGGTCAGCCAAGCCCTTAAATCATCAGCCAGACTGATACTTCAGTTTTCCAGTGTTTTGATCCTGTATACTAGTGAAAATGTCTCAAATTCTTAGATATATAAACACATAAAGTAGAAATATAAAGAAGATGCCCAGTTTATTGCTTTAAAGAAGTTTCTAGCTCCCTCCTTTTACAGAGATCACCTTAAATATGTATTTGCAATTGTATATTATATTTATATTTATATAATTGCATCAGTTGTATCTGTATAAAATGCATTGCAAGGCATAAGGCAGTGCAAATGTAAAAAAAAGATGAACTTGTTGCCAAACATGAGGGTTCCTTTGTAAGATTTTACAAAAGCAGTGCAGACTCCATGTTTCTTCTCCTTCTGAGTTCACCATCTGAGCTGTGACCATAACAAGAAAACTTGCACAACAGGAGGCACTAAGGAAGGAAAGTCCATGTGCAGTCACCTACTCCCCAACAACCCCTTGTTGAGCAGAGGAGATGGATAGAGCATTAAGCACTAAATAAATCTCAGAGAGGATCCTCTAAAGCTCAGGAATTTATGTGTTGGAAACGGCTGTTACCACCTTGATAATGGGTAAGTGTTGTACAAGCTTGAACAAACTCTTACACTTTCATGGGGACAGAAATATTAAGTCCATATCAGCTAATTCTGCTTAACCAACATAAACATCAAAATCAGCTTATTATATCATCCAAAGTAGGCAGTGAAACAACTGTAAGTCTTTCCTATAATTAAGGAAGAACATTACCTTTTAACCATGCTGCACATATCTCATGTTTTTTTCCAGAATATCTGAAATGATAACTACAGATGTGACAGCAAATATTTTACAGCCTTATAAAACCTTTTGGGCCTCTTTCTCTACACATGTTCAACTGACTGCAAATCTCCAAGTCATGCAAGCAGGTATGTCAAGTGTTAGATTTTCTCTTTAGTCAGAGTCATAAGGAAAGACGGGATAAAAAGAGAAAGAGAATTTTCCTGATACCAAGTAGGAAATGCCAGCACTGTCTGTGTCCATGGGAAAGGCTCTGATCATCCATTGTACAGTGCTTAAAAATTACTCTTCCAAGGGTACTTGCATGCTAAATGGTTTGCTTAGAAGTGTATTCATATATTAACAACTACAGTTCCAGTCAACATAGAGAGATCACGAGGAATATATCTTCATGAGCTGATGATCTGTGGTTGGTACCATCTTGTTTCTTGGTTAAATTAAGAGACAGGTTCTTGTTGCTCTCTGACAAATTTGCCATCCTTTATGATTTGTAGCATAAATTTATGACTCCTTCCTGTGATACTGCATATTCATAGACAAATTAACTGCAGCTGTTAGTAGTAATATTGTGGGAAGGAAATTTCAGTGAAATGTTGAGTCACACCCAAGCTTTAGCTATGTCAAGCTCCTTAACACCAGTGTCTTTGGAGTATAGAGAAGAGGGAAACAGACAATCCTTAAAGTGCTAGCACCTCATTAATGTCAGATAAAAATCCATTTATTTCCCTTTGATAAACAAAACTCACTTCCCAGGCAGACAACTGCTGAGGGTATTTCATTAGATACCTGCCTGCCTTGCAAAGGAAAGGCAGCAGACTGGGACATTTAAACCAGTTGGTTTCCTTTCCAGCATCTTGACAGCTCTTGTTAGGTCCCCTGCTTTGACCAGTTCACCAGACCTCTGTCACAGTCTATTCCCAAAGATTTGGCTGAAGAGGAGGGTAAAGAGCAATCCAATGGCAGCTGAGAAATGCTTGAAGGTTGCAAAGGCAACAGAGCAGAACTCTGCTCAGGAGTGGCAAAGGGGGATGTGCAGCAGCCAGAAATTGTTTTTTCAGAGGTTCTGAGGAACTTGAGTCCCTTCCAACCAATCATTCCTATGATTCTGTGATTTCAGACCAAATATGACAGTGTGGTCAAGGTGACTTCCAATGGCCAATGCTTCTGGAGCTGGAACAGCCAGCCTTTTCTGGTACTGCTGCCCTGAGGGCTTTTCATGGCACACATCTGCTCCTGTATCTGCAGGTATTTTCAGAAATGCCAGGGGGAAAAAAACAAATCCCCAAGAAACAGAATTAAGGGCTACAGAAATTTGTAGCAGTGTAATTATAGGGTAGAATTATCTGGTGTGTCCATATCTGTGTCTCAATATATTTCTCATAAACAGCTGCTTTCCTAATGCAAACCCAGCCAATATTTATTCAATGTGCCACTGCATTTATAATTGCTTAGCAAACCTTGTCTTTAAAAACTTGTCTTAATCTGCAGAGGCTCTAATTTTAATGTCAGATTTTGCCGGCTGTTTAGTTTTTCCTAAGGTGATGGTCAGTATTCATGTAATGTAACATTACAGAGTTGGGTTTATGGCCTGTTTTTGAATGACAGTGTGAACTCTTACAAATGGCACAGCACCCAGGGTATCAAGTCAAGCTTGCAGGATTAAAAAAATCCAAATTTCCCATTTTTATAGCTTTCTAACCTTCTGGGCTAACCTGAAGTCCTCAGCAAAATTTAACCTCCTCCTCCTCCTCATAAATCCAGAACAGCACCAGTGGATTCTGGCAGGTGTGCAAATGAGCTGGAAATAGCATGTACTTTAAAAGCTTTGCTTTGCCATTTAATCAATTGCACCAGCTGCTTATTGCATGGTGTACTACAGTGCAATAGAGATTATCACCTAAATAATTAGTAATGCTGTGATGGCATAGCACAGTAATACAGGGGGTCTATATATAGTAAAAACATGTGGGTATTTGTATTTTATAACCTGATACATGTGCCTCTTGGCTCCCCTCATCCCCTGCACATGTGAGCTTTGATGTGTCACCTTGTGATGCTGGATCCAGAAGAACAGAGTTCTACAACAAGGGGACCACATGGATCTATGAGCAACCATGAAAGAATAGGTTTTCTTACTTAAAGTCAGTGATCTCATAGGTACAAAAGAGAGCAAACTGAGGCAATATTTGATTCTGATCATTTGAGCTGTATTCTGGAAATCCAGAAGCTGTGAACTGGTTTGTTATTAATGGTGTTTGTAGTCCTCTTTTCTGCACTCTTCAGCAACAGCAGATGGGCTGAGGCGCATGAGAACAGATTTTCACGCGGTATCCATGGCCTGGCTGCAAGCAGGCATTACTGAAAATCTCCTGAGCTACCTCATGAGTCTTCAAACATCTGCTAAATCTCTCTTCATCTGGTCTGTGTCTCTCAGGGCCGGATTCTTTAGTGCGAGGCTGTCAGTGGTAGCACACTTCTGGCACATCTGGACAAAGCACTTGTGACAGCCAAAACTGTAATTTAGGAGGCTCTGGTTGCAGCAGAGAGGCAATCCAGCACATGGATGAAGACCAGTGGGTCTCTGTGACAGAGGTCAGGAGGAATCCAATACGGTCAGGAAAGACAATACCTTACAAACTGATACAAACAGTTCCTTGAAGTCAAAGGAAAACACTGTTTTTCAGGAACAAATGGCCTTCTTCCATCCCTCTTTTGTGTCTCTTTTATACTGTAATGGACCATGTTTCTGAAGTCTTTGGAAAACTGATTTCATCACCTGCCTGAGGCCACAAGCAAAAGGGATTTTAATGATTAAATTATATTGGCTGGATGTTTAACAAAACTGCTTCCCATGTGGATACTATTGGCAGCCTCCACAGAGAAGTGCAGTGGACATAATCCTTTTTTAATCAGGATGGACAGCAAATATAATATATCTTGCAATTTCTGAGGTAATTTTTGTCTTCTGTAATTCTATGCTGCACTAAGAGGGAAAACATAAGGAGTAAAAAAGGATGTCTCAGTGAAACTAGTATATCACCCCAAAAAAGGGCAAAGTCTCTGCTTGACATTTTCAGCCCAAGCTTGACAATTGAAACTTGGTGAAAACAAGAAGTACCACAATTCCCACAGCTACTCCCACAGAACCTACAATTTTTTTACTTGTTTATATTTTATCACTCTCCATATATATATATGTGAACAGACATGGCATCTAGTTTTCATTAACAAGTCTAATATTCATCTGTGTTTATATGCTAGATCCAGAACAGAAGTTGTATGTCTACCAGGATGATTCAGATCCCTGAGACCTTAAAAAAAAAAGCTTACTTTAACAGAGTCTTCTAGGAAATGTCAAAATTATTTCACTTTTTATGGAAACTGTTTTCATTTTCCACTTCATGAGAAAGTCCACACAACTTGCAGTATTGTTAAAAAAATGTTCTTGAAACCATTGTGGAATTTGGGAAGCCAAAAGATGTGATAATATTTTCAAATATAATTTCCATTAAAGGTTTGATTTAAAAAAATCACCAACTTTTTCAGCCAGAATTGCAAATGTTTATGTCAACACCTCTTTTTCTCAAAGTTCAGTTTTGAAATAATATGGTTTTCATTACAATGCATTCTGTATTCTCATTTCCATCAGTTCCACTCCTAAAGGCCTTATTGCTTTTTTCTGTCATTAGGGATGCTAAGAAAGGGAATTGTTGATGGGTTCCTTTCCTTCCTTCTTTCCTTCCGACCTTCCTTCTGTCCTTCCTGTTGTTCTTTTTTTCAGAAAAATAACCCTCTGTCTGTCATCTGTGGCAGTCAGAGTTTTAAGAGAAACCCAGAGGGTGGTGGTGGCAATGCTGGAGCAGAGAAGACGGGCACTCAGTGCCCCAGTGGCACATTCCAGCCACCAGGCAGCACATTGACAGAGTCCTGAACAGATCAAAATTCCTGAATTCATGGACTAGGGAGCAGACCCCACCTAACACAACTATCCTAACAGCCTCCACCAGGACAGCCAGACGAGGAGCAAAAGCCTTTGGCCTCTGGCAGAGCAGGGAGTGGAGAGTGAAGGCAGCTGGGTGCAGCATTGCCCTCCTGGACAAAACCATCAGGATAGCTGAGGGTCCTCAAGTCTAACTGGTGATCTGAAGTGCCCAGAGAAGGGAGGCCTTGGAGCACCCACACACCATTAAGTAAAACCCACCCACATACCTACAGTTGCCTCTTGCTGGAGCCAACTGCAATAACATCAATATTGCACAAACAGATGTACCTCTGCAGTCCAGTGTGTTAAAACCAGATGTTTCGCAGATGGTAAGAAGGTCTAGTCCAGGCTAAAAGCAAATCAAAAGACCTCTCCTGAATCACAAGAGTGTATGATTTTACTATTTGGATTTGGAAGCAGTAGGGCTGTGGGTTCCTACTGCTGTGAATCAGGCAAATTGAGGCAGGCAGCACTGCTGAGAGATCACTGCAAGGCAGCCCAGGGCAGGGCTTTTCCCTCTACCCAATTTTGAGGCCTCTCTGGTGAGCAGGCCCAGGAAAAGCCTGGCTGAAGGGGCATGGCCAGGGCAGCAGCTGTCCTGGTGCACAGAGCACCAAGCAGGTCGTATTTTCTGTTGACACTTCTCTCTGTGCTTCATTTTAAGTTTTATGATCTGCTGCTACCTATGGTGTTGCCTCACCCCAGCACTGACCACGGGAAGCAACATGCCTCGTTCTGCACACAAAGCATCTGGGGGTGTCCACAGCCAGCACTGCATCCATCTCAACTGCTTGCATCCTTTCTCCTTGTTAATGCTCCCAGGATCCCTGCTGCTGGGGTTTTCCATCAGGCAACATGGCAGGCACCCCTCTTGTCCTAAACCCTGTCCCATATCTGCCTCCCATCACTCTCTTGCCCAACGCAGGGCTGGCAGAAGCATTGGTACTGGCAGTTGTTCCCTGAGTGTACAGACTGTATTAACCCAGATGGAACAAATTAGGACAGGACGAAAGGGACCAGCAAGGATTTTCCCATTGTTTCCCCCCATTCTTCTTCTCCATGCAATGAAATAAATGGCTGTAGGCTACATGCGCAGGCTTGTAAACCGTTTTGACACAGAACTTTTCAGGCTTGAAATCCCAAATGAAAGGCAATTTTGTATTTCTGTCTGCTCCTAAGCCCTACAGTAAATACCCAAGTGTCATTCTGCACGAAAATAAAGGCCTTGAAGTTAAGTGGGGGGCAGGGAGGAAATAAGCAATGTTCTTCACAGTCTTTGTTAGCTACCATTTTACAGCTTGGTTCTTTATGTCAGTGCTTCACCTCTGAAGTTACAAATTTACATGCTCCAGATTGAAGACTCGTTTGAAGGAGGGGGTGACTGGGATGATCTAAACTTCCTAACTAGCCTGTCTCCTTGGCACCCTCAGCTGAGACCCCAAATGAATCCTTAGCATTCATCCTTAGACCCCTTTGAATCTTAGCATTTACTGCATGTGTGGCGTGTTACTCCTTTTGAAAAGGTGACAAGAGAGTCCCAGTTCTTATGTGCACACAAGATGCCTTCACATCCCTAAGTCTCTGAAACCTAGATTTTGGTAGATAGGAATCACCCAGAATGGTTCATTTTAACAACCCCACTGATGAAGCTGCTGCAAGGAGGTGGGGGAAGGCCTTACCTTGGAGCTACACTTGTAGAGGGGGTGGGTGATGGAGTCCACGTAGTGGTGCCTCATACAGCGGCTGGGATCAGAGTCGATCATGAAGGAACTGTCTGTTTTACTGTCCGTGTCTCCCATCATCGCGAGGAGCGAGAGCATGGAAATCGAAGCCGCGAGTACATGATTTCCCATTGTCGAGGAACTTCTCGCTGGTAACAGTAGAGGGAGGTAGAGTATTAAAAAAACTCCAAATCCTGGAAGCCAGTTCCTTTCCAGGATGGTGAAAAGTCTGGTTTAAGTGTCTTAGCTGTCATTCTTCTTCTTCTCGCGTTGGAGTTTGCCGAGATTGTAATCCATCAAAAGATCTCTCTGCACAGCTGGGATAAAAGCAACATAAATCACAACCCTGACCAAAAAGACCGCTGGAGGAAAATAGACATAAATAATATTAAGGCACACAGGACCTTTGCTACCCAAAATATACGCTCTGAGTGATCATTGTTCCCACAGTAGGTAGAGAATATGGCATTAGGAAGGAGATGTCAAGGCCTTGTTAGTTTTAGCATTGCTCTATCCTTTCACTGGGGAGAACCTTTTAACATCACAAGTAATGCAATGCCAATCTTTTTCGCTTGGTGATGTCCCTGGTGTGTTCCCCTCAAAACTGGTGAATAGTAACACATCAGAGATTTCTGCAGATCAAAAGGACTGTGTAACCACTAAAAGTGTCAAAGAGGGGCAAAGCTAGGCTGCCTCCTGCATTACAGATGGGAATTTCTGGCCTAGGTAGCACATGGAAAGGCTGGAGGCAGGTTGAGCTGTGGCTCTAGGGGTTGCCTGTCAGCATCCTGCAGCTTCTGTGCTGCAGGGGCAAGGGACACACCGAGGATGAAGGGATGCTGAAGGTCCAAGCCCAGGCATAACCAAAGTGGTCCCCCAGGAAACTTGCTGAGCATTGACCTGCACTGCATGAAGAACTAGCTTGCTGTCTGTCCTGCCCTCCCGGGTTCCAAACTCACATGCACATGGGTGGACATGCTTTACTTGCTTACTTGTCAGGCAGCACTTGTTCAGTGTCAGTCTCTTCCACATTAATTAAAACGCAGCATCTGAAAAATACATGTATTATTCCATAATATCCAAGTATATCCCAGCTATCAAATGGGAAAAAAATATATTTTGGTGGAGTCCTGTGGCTATCTACCTAGATATCTGGATTTTTGGTGCATGTTGAAGACCATGAGATTCCCCAGGAAGTAAGTGCAGGATAGCCCCTGAAATGCTGCCCAGAGCTTTGTGCCAGCAGGGGAAGAAGGGCATCTCCCTCAGCTGCTTCTTCACAACCCCTTGATCCTTTTCATAAAGCCCTTAGTCTCGACTGGGTGATTTTATTTCACTTTTACTACAAACAGCTATAGCTTGAAAGAGTTGTGAATTACCCATCTAAATACAGCCCGGTGAAGGACAGTCAAAACATACTCACAAGCGCAGTTTAAAGTGCAAGGACTTTCTGAAGAAACTTAAGATAAAACAGTTCCCTGCTCCTGAAGAAATGCTCCCGCAGAGCCCCTTGAGTACTTAAAGATCTGATGTGTACCTTTATTGCCTTACACAAGCCTCTTTCAATCTACTGTTTAGAGGATTGCTGGCAATCCTCTAAACCGACTGATACTCATCTCCCAAACGCCCCGAATCGACGGGGCCTCCCCACCAGAGTGCTTGATGATTTGTGTTGCTTTATAGCTTGCTCAAACACTTCTGTGAGAGGAGTGCATAGCAGTGACAAACGCTTCCAGAGTTCATCCAAGTGGGGATGGCGCTGACGTGACATACGAAGCCTCATGCTGGGAATAAATGTTATTAGGGATGCTCTGTACATTAGAGAGACAAAGATGCTCTGTGTATTGGACACTTTTGTTGTTGTTGTTTCAAACTGTTGTCCATGTGCTTAAGTAGGAAAGGAAAAATTATGAGACTGTGGATCTAAATGACAGTATATTTTTTCCCCTGAGTCTGACATATGACCCAGCGTATTTTCCTCAGCAAATGTGACATTAAAAAAAATGCTATGTCTTTCTGCTATAAAGAACTTAAACAAACAACACTAAACACTTAGGATCTCAGATGCATTTATGCACAGTCCCATTCATGTCAATAAATATCCCTCCAAACATTTTTACAGGGTAAGACAGAAATCTCTCGGTCATGGGAGCTGGGACAGAATCCCTCCCAGAAGTGAGCTGTTCTACTCTAGTTCATGCAGATGATGCCCAAGGATTATCTAACAGGAGGAGTGATGCAATTTTTTTTTTCCTCTGTGTTTAACCTTTTACCTACATTCCTATTCTTTTTTATAAAGAGGCTGACCAAAACATGCTGCTTGGCAAGGTCTCTCTCCAACATAGTTAATCAGTATTACACACCCAGTAATTCCCTCTCTGTCCAAATAAATTTACTTGATATTAGACGCTCTCATCTCATGTGTTATTACATCCAGGGATCCTCATTTCCCACTCTCTCTGTCCCACTGTTAATTTTGTGCTTCTATATCTTTCCATGTTTTTGATCAGTATGATTTAATACAGTGAGAGAAATCTGGAGTCCTGGCTCAGTTTTCAAAGGCTTATCACTCTAGTTTTCTTCAGGAAATAATTGGATGACACAGAGTTTGCCTCATGAAAACACTGTGAGAAAGCTGGAAAGACACAGGGAAAAAGTGTGAGAAAAGGAAGATGGCTGTACCTTCTTCAGGATAAGCACAGAACAAAAAGTATTAACACTTTCACAATCTTTTAAAATTGCCCTGATACTTCTCTAGCAAAGAAATGTAGCAGGCTTTTGCAACAATATTTTGAAAGAGGAAAAAACCTACTGTTATCACATATTTATAAAAAAAAAAGAGAGAAAACAGATGTAAATGTGATGTACCTTCTGTGAAAAAGCTGTGTACAGTTGTGGATAGACACACTGGCAAAACAAGTGCATAGGTGCATCTCCTGACATACCTATGGGAAATATGCACCTACATTTCTCAAGTAAATATGCCATGCATAATATATATGGAAGAAAAATTCTTGGAGGGATATTTAAAAATACAGAAGTTAGAGTGTAGATTTTTGATCCTGTAAAAAAAGTATAAACATTTTCAGACAGGTACATCACCATGATGAGATATGTTGGCGTGACATTTTCTATATCCAGTTGACATTGTGCAATGGCATTTCACCTGAACTTAGCTTCTTTATTTAAAGAAAGACTGTATTCATTTTGAAATGCTGAAATTACAAAATCCTAGACAGCACATGATATCAGGATTGACATATGAGGTTTCCAGCCTACTCTTCTGTCCAAAACCAGAAGCAAGTACACCTGTAATCATTAATCATCATAATCGATGATATTTTGTTTCATTTGGGAAAATATATTTTTTATTAAAATCCACAATTTCACATAGGAAAAATTTTGTCTTCTATTTCAGCTGTGTTTTCCTCAGTTTCTTTTCATGAAAAAACTGTGGTAGACAGCCCATCTGTCAAGTTAACAAAAAGGAAGGTAAAATTCTTCCTCTTTACAGCATTCTGCAAAGAAAAAGATTAAAAGGTGACTTCATATTCTCAGGCTGAAAATTGGCTCCAAAAATATTTGGCCTAACAGTGGATGAAAACCCTATTTCACATTTTTTTCAGAATTCACTGATATGGGCAGTACATTTTGTTAGTAATAGGCTTATAGTTCCCTTTCTATATAACTAGTTTGCATGAATTCATAGGGACATAACAAACTAAAAGCTGTTACAGCTGTTACCCAAAACTGCTACAGCTGTTACCTAAAAACTTCAGGGAAAAATAGAAGGCATCCCAAAGAAAGACCTTATTAACATACAATTCAAGCCTGTATTGCACATGGACATAGGGGCAGAGTTAGGGTTATTTTTCCAGCTCTCTGTTCTTATTAAGTGCTTTGTGAATGCTGAAATAAAGATTTCTTACCATAGTCTTAATATCATTTAGAGAGTGGTGAAGGTTAAGGTTTTGTTTTGCTTTAAGGACAGAAGAAAATTCCATCATCTGGAATTATTTAGCCAGTCACTTTGTGAGAACGTAAACAGAAATTCCCTTTTTGCTATGTATTTTGGAAAAAATAAAGAGCTGAGCAATTCTCCAAAGGTCTATTGAATCTGTACCATTTTTACCCTGGAAGGTAGGAAGAGAGCAGTGGAAAAGCTCTTTTACAGTGTACTTCTTCTTGGCTGTTCCCTGCTCCTGAGCCCCCTGATTTAGGAATGAATGTACATTCAGCTTGGCTTTCATTTGCTGTGCATTTTCTGTGTTCGAGACTTCTACTTGACCATGGGGGTACAGTTCAAGTCATTCAGTGCTTTTTATGCTTTGGAAGCGGCCAAAATCCCGTTGAAGCAGCGGTGTGTATATATAACTTAAGCCTGGCCTTGCATGCTGTGCATATTTAGTAAACACAATTACTTGGATCCTACCATGTGGTTCCCTCATTCTGAATTTGTTATGTAAACAGAAGAGTTACAAGACTACTCAGTTTCTCCAAACTTCAGCCCTGAAAAAGTGTCACTAACCATATATGTGTATATGTGTGCGTGTGTGTGTGCAATTCACTGCTGCTGTTCTGACAAAAATAAGCCACAAAGTCCTTCATGAGACCAGAAGAGATTTCTCAAGAGCTTTATCTAATCTGGAAAAGTTTAGACCAGAAAGATGAGGATTTGGGGGCTTCATGGTTGAAGGTCTGGACTGGAGGGGAAACAATTGTGTTGGGCAAACTACAGTCAGGCTACACCAGGTTTGTTCTTCAGGGTTAAATTCTCCACTGCCATGACAAGGGTGGCTTGATCTATTCCCAGAGATCCTTTAGCATCCACAGCACTCGGCTTCCAGCCCACGCAACCATCGGCACAATGCCTGGGAACTGCCTGGGAAGCACTGTGTGCTGTGAAACTAAATGGTACAAGTGACAATCTGAGCCATTTAAGAGAACAGTTTATGCAGCACGAGAGACAACCCAAGATGAGATGCTGTGTCTGATCCCGCTTTCTGCTGAACCAACTCAGAGTCTTTGTCAGCTCCAGTGTGTCTTTTAGCTCAGTAAATAAATGCAATAATCTTTTTATGTAGTTGTTTTACTGTGGCCATTTCTGTTACAGCAGGGAAGGAGCTGGCCTCCCATATATGCTATCAAAATCCTCTCTCCACTCTGCAAGCTGCCTGCCAAAACACCTGACAAAGTCACTGAGTGGCCATGTGGCATCTGGGCAGCAGTAGATGAACACAGGGAACTCCAGTTGTTTGGGAAATGCCTCCACATGCAGCATTTGAACAGGTTTCTTCCAATGGTGAGGCAGGGGAAATACCAAACAAAATATTTTGAGTGAGATCCTTACAGGTCTGAATAAGTGAATGTTCACCCAAGGCCTTGTTGTGCCGAAGAGGGTTTGCTCGACTGGCATCCAGCTGTGCTGAAGTTTGTCCCCTTTGACACCAAGGGGAATGTCTTCACCCGTCGTACAGGAGCTCCATCCACCCCTTTCACAGCAGGTTGCAGGGCAGTGTGTGCCTTCAAGGGGAGAACACCAACAACATGCACTCCCGGATGGAGCTGGCAGCAGCTGGTGGGCAAGAGGAGAGGGGAAGGGAAAAGGGAGCAGGAAGGAAAACAGGCTCAAAAAAAAGGACTTAAATATCTTCTTCTGGATGTCCACAGGGGGAAAGCCCACCTTCTGGTTCTACTGAGGTTGTGCTGTCCTGCCATCTGACTGCTGACAGTGCATGGTGCTAATAATGCCAAGGTCATGGACTTGATCCCCATAGAGGCCATTCACTTAAGAGTTGGACTCAATGATCCTTGTGAGTCCCTTCCAACTCAGAATACTCTGTGGCTTTGTGACATTGTCCTGCAAAGCCCAAGAAGATAAAAGGGACAGTCAGAATGTCAAACACAGTGATCTGGTAGATGATAGAAACTCCTGCAAATCATTTTCTGCTGTGAGGTTTCCTTAAGTATTTTAATATTTCAGAAGGTGAGTATATGTGACTGTAAGCAGATTGAAAAAAGAAAAATAGGAAGACCGTGGCATTTGGAGCATAAGAAACAACATAGTTATTGCAGCAATATAATGGAAGCATCCTGGGAACATCAGAATGCTTGGGACGAGCACACATGGGACTGGTTCCTCGGGCTTCAATGGGGCAGCTCGTGTAAGGCCCCCGTAAGTGTTCACGTCGTGGGGACCCAGTGCATGAGATGGAACAAATTCATCTGAACAGCACTTGAGCTGGGCCGAGCTTCCCTCTCCTTTTGAAGTTTCCAAGAGTATTTCCAGCCCTTCAGGTAGGTGGGAGAGGGGGAGCTAACCGTGCCTTCCTGATAGGCAGTTGAAATAACAAACCCTAGTGGGTACTGCAAGCTGGCACCTGGCCAGCAGACAGGCACAGGCCAACACAGAGAAAAGGATTTAATGCACTCACAAAGAATAACTACTGGGGGACAAAAGAGTGCTTGTATTTTTTATTCTTTCCTTTTCCTGCTTCCAGGAAACTTTAAATAGATTGATTAGGGGTATGCATGGGATATCTCTCTAATGAGCCAGTAGAGCCATTTAATGGTGAGGTGATGCCAGCCTTGGGTTCTTTCTTTCTTCTTGTGTCTTGCTGAATATCAGAGTAGTCATGGTCTTGAGTCTGGGACAGGAGAGGAATACAGTTTTCCACTTGGTCATCCAGAGAGTTCTGGACGGCATCACTCCTTGGTGAAGCACCTGGCACAGTGCTGAGGTGTCTAAGTAAGGCTGCCCATCCCTCCCAGGAGGCAAACCAGCAAGGGTGGCTGCTGGCTGCAGTGCAAATGTTCCCAGCCAAGCATTAGCTATAGGATTTGCTTCAGTAATTACTTCTAGTTCAGTCTTATGACCCAACATGAGGCAAAATGACTCTTGGCCAAATTACAAGTTGCTGAGAGAGGTCTAGGGCATTCAGGCATGTGTCCTCTACCTGTTGGAGCGTGTTGAAAGCAGGTGGGCGAGTTTTGTTCCCTGGTTTTTGCCTATCTCACAGAGAACTCAAAGGCTGTAATTATCAATAGGTGCAGGAGTAGGAATGAGTTTCTTATTCTTTAATATTAAGAAAAGACATCCCTGTCACTGGGACCAGCAGAGTGCTATGCATTCTGGAGACAGCACATGATGGAAGGGGATGTTCCCTCTTTTCTGATGTTTGGGGCAAAATCCTTTCTTCTTTTATACACAGGCAAAATTCAGACCACCATCCATATACTTCTGATTATTAGGGAACCTAAATATTTGGCTCATGGTAACAATTTTATGTCTTCTAACAAGGGGAGCAGTGTTCCCCTAGGTCCCACTCCCTTTGAGCCGTGCTGCTATGACAGTAATGTGATTGTCACTACCATGGTATGCTTAACCTTTGCCAAACCAGAGCTGGGGCATTAACTCAGATCCTCAACTCGCGTCTTAAAGGGCAACATAACCTGTGCTACCTCCGCACTGCTGGGCTCACACAGTCTGCAGCTCAGTAGTAATGAGCACGTAAATGTGACAAGTGTGAAGAGTAACAATGACTGATGCAAAAAGAAAACTAACAAAGGGAAGCTGAAAAATAGCAATGAGGAGGAATTCCTAGGACCAGTGTCTCCATGGCACCAGCAGCCCCCTGCCCTGACACCAGAAGAGAGGCTGCACTTGCCTGTGGTAGAAAAGATCTCCATGCCACACAATGGAATTCCAACAAACAGGACAAGGGCTGATGGTGTCTGGAAGTGGTAGTGCCACTGCTACCCGGATAATAGTCTGAATTAGATGATGTGAAAAAAGAAGGAATATATAGACAGGCAGCTGCTCAAAGGCTTACTACAACCTTGCTTTTATTGTTCTGCTAAGTTAGAGGTGGGGCATCAGAGGGATTCCTTACATACCACTACTGAGAAATTTTAATATGTTCCACACTGACACAGATAAAAAGGAAATAACAGCTGATCACAGTCAGAGGAGCCTGCAGCATCTCTTCATATACATGTACAGAATACAGGCAAAGGGTTCTTGGCTTGGACACCCACAATAACCTGACCCAGCTAAACCTTTCTCCTGACACTGAGCTGAGTTTCAGCAAAAGGACTGTGAAGTGGAAAGTCAGGCAGCAGAAAAAAGAGGTGATCTGGGCATGGGTATTCACCCCATCCCGAGATACCAGGACATGGAGAAGGACAGGGGAGCTGAGAGGCAGAACACTTAACACTGATGAAAAGAAACACATGTTTACACAACCGACAATGATCCGGTGGAACAAGATATCACAGGGGGCAAAAGTTGAGCTGGGCTCAGCAAAAGGAGCTGTTATGCATGGGAGGGTTACAGTCACAGGGGTTTTACTTTTAAAGAGTTTTTGGAAGGGTTGTAAACTCTTAGGACGCTGAAGGTTCGGTTGATGGGGTTAGGGAAAAATCCTTTGCCACAGTGAGTTACCCTGTAGCTGCCTGCCACGGAGTCTCTATGTCTTCCTTTGATGTGGCCACTTCCAGCCACACTCAAGAGGTGGATTGCTCAAATAACATGGGTCTGTGGCACAGCCTCATGCAGCAAAATTTTTTAAAACTCAAGACTCTCCTCATACTCAGGAGGACATTAGAGAGAGAGGAATTTGTAATACTCATAATACAGCTATCAAATATTTGTAATTGTAATTACAATAGTGATATTTGGGTGTGGGGAGAGATATTTTTTTCTACCTTCAGTTAAACAAGTAATCCACCAGATTTGTTGCAAAAACAAATGTCTCAGTGGCTTCATGCAAGCTTTGCACCATAGATAGTCAACTCCCTTCAAGGTCCAAGAACAACCTTGGGCACTTCCTAGTGCATCTGAGAGCAGACAAGCCAGGAAGGGAACAAAGTCAGCCTCAGGGGAAGTGGGGAATGAAGCCAACTCCAGGAGGACTGCCTGTCAAATGAGTCAAAGCAGGCATCAATGTGAGCTCCCACCTGGGCAAAAGAGACTGTAATCCTGGCAACACAAGCAGGCAAGAACATACAGATGCTATCACGAGCCTCAACGGCACGTGAGGGATTGTTCCAGTGGGACAGGTAGCTTTTGTGGAAATCAGCCATGCATAAGCAGCTACCTGGAGCACTGCTGCTGCAAACTGCACACAAGACTACCCACAGCAAGTATCCTGCTCTGCAAGGGGCAGTCATCAGCATACAGGCATCTGATCAAAACCAGGTGCTGCACAAACCCAGGAAACCTACGTGGGACACCTTCAGGTAGAGAAATGAGCTTGTAACTAATCAGCAGCAGCTCCTGATTATACCCTGTCCCTAAATCAAATTGCATTTTACGTAAACTTGAAACATCTACTCCTCACAGATTTGCTTTTAACTGGAAAATCTTAAAGCGTTGTTTTATAATACCAGTTTCATAAGTAAGATTTCATTATTCCAGCAAGAGCATGTCCATGTATATATAAGTCACATTGGGAACCCCTGATTCAAGCTGGTAAGTAATTACTCATCAAATAGTTCTATTTAGGTCCAGGGAATTATTCATGTGTATAACTACTCACAGATATGAGTAAGGTCACACAGCCTGCACACAAGTGAGCATTGAGCATCATTAGTAATTTAAAAGAAAGGGGAGGAAAAAAAGAGGTCCTAAAATGTAGATATTCTTATATTCTTTTGAGGAGGGACAAATAACAGCACTGTGATTATTATATCCACATTTATTGACCAAACCAGGCAGCTGGGTTACTTCTATTAGAAAGTAACTTTGCAATAAAGAACTGATTTGAAGTTAATTTGTCCCCATTGCTGGTTTCAAATAATCATTTGCTTTCAAGTGAATTGTCCCCACTACTGGTTTTAAATAGTTATTTGCCTGTCCTTTTCCAATATGCTGAGTTCCTACCTCTCAGCCACTGGGACAGTTACAAAGCTTTAGAAACTGTAAGTAACATTTATTATATAGGAAACATATTTTTTCATCTTTCAAGAGCTGCAGAAATCTTAAAAGGTTACTTGCCATGCCATCTGTCTCAAGCAGAAACAAATAAGATGTGTTATGGGGGGGGTTATGAGAGCCCTTTAAACGAACTTGAGGGGTAGGATAAGAAATCTGCCTGACAGTCCCACGAGAGTCAGTCCACACATACACCATCTTGTAAATTCAGATTTGCCACAGGAAAATTGCCCCCCCAGCACACACTGCAGCAGTTATCTAACCCGGGACTGAGATTGGTCTGCACATGGTTTATCTTTGTTACTCTCTTATTTGCCACCGGACCCATTCATTTGAACCTTTATAGGACGAATTCACTCACCTGAATCCCAGCAGGGAGACGGGGCTCTCTTCCTCAGCCAGGATCCCCCGGGGCAGTGTCCGTTCCCGAGCCTCGCAGTGCCACTACACTGACACTTTGTCACTGGGCTCATAACAGTGAAACTCTTCTTTTGTCCCAAAGAAACAGAGAACAGTTATATTCGTGCCTCTGGCGGTGACACACAGGGAAATTATCTGCCGGGAACGGAGGAGAGCCTCCCTCTCTCCTTCAGCTGGCGGTCTGGGGTCCTGCAGCATCCTCCCTGTCAGCTCCCGGCTGCACAGCCACGCCGCATTACGTGTCACGCTGACGGGGTCGGCTACCTACTAAATATACCCCTCGGCATTACAGCAAAGGCAAACACCGTGGCTTCCCTCACAGGTCTCAGCCAATCAAGAGTGCATGTTAAATCTGTCCTAACGCACAACCAGCCCCAGCCCATAGGGAAAGCCTCGGAGAAGTTTGGGTAAATAATAATGTGCAAATTAAGAGTGCTCCCGCGAAGCGTGACACAGAAAGCTAGAAATAAATGTTGTCTGTTGTTTCAAATTATTCCAAGCACTCCGGCAGATGACTGGCAAGAGCACAGCATGCGTAAGGAGTGATAAAAGTAAACAGTCCAGCTTTAAACTAGCTGGCTTGCCTGTGCTCATAGAGCCCTGTTGCAGTGTGACAAAGGGGGTGCTGGCGATACCAGCTCTCTCTCCATGAATTCAGGGCAGAGTCCAGCCTGTCCATTCACTCCCAAGACATACAGCCAGGAGCAGCACAGAGCTGCAGACAGGAGCCCGGCATGCTCACGAGAATTGATGTTTAACCAAGTTGCTCAGAACACACTGGGCTACCTATTTGACTGCTTACAGGCATCCTCTGGACAGGAGATAAAGGTAGAAGTAAAAGAAAGAGACACAGGTACTAGAGCTGTGTCGATTCCATTTAGACACACTAGAGTTTAAAAAATGGTACAAGGACAACATGTATGTCAGAGATAGACAATAAGCACCCAGTTTAAGTCTGTGTAATACCCAAAATCTGTAGGAATCTCTAATTTGTTTGCTTACCTTTGGTAAATGCACCACTCCTTCCTCCCCTTGAACTCTTCAGAGAGCTAAAAAGAGGTCCTGTTACTTCCAAATGCTTTTGTTCTTCTGTCCCTCTGTCACATGGCTTGCCTTTTATATTTGCAACACACAAAAGTTAGGGCTGTTGTTTAAGAGAGAGAGGGGGAGAGAGAGGGAGAGAGAGGGAATGTCAAATGGAAAAGTGCCATTGCAGTCATATATCAATCAGGGCAGCAGCAGCAGCAGCTCACTGGCAAATGGGAATTCCACAGAAATGTGAAGCTCTTGTTATCTGAGAAATCACAAAACACCACCAGCCAAGCTCCCCTCTGCAGGGACTTATTATTGGCAAGCCAGGAAATAGAAGGAAATGTAGGCGCTTTTTTAATTGTTGTTATTGTTTCGGATCTGGAGATACTTACACTGTGGTATATGCAAGCCAGTGGAATATAAATCCTGAATCAAATTCCTTCCTAAACAAATGCACTGTGTGCAGGATAAAGCAAACCACTGAGAAGCAAGGTAACAGAGCTAATTGAAGAATCTGACAGTAATGATTTAAAGAATTTGATAACTGTACTGGGAAAATATCCATAGAAAATCTACCTTTTTCATGGCTTACTCATTAATCTCCTTTTTTTTTTCCTGACAAGTTTTTCTTAGATTTTTTTTTAACTGTGATTGATCTCAGATATTCTGAATTCAAGCTCTGCTGTTTCACTACAATTGGTCACCTAAATCATCTGACATTCCCTGGCTCTCCAGTTGGGTAAGCAGACAAGCATTTTCTGTATAAAATTCCACTTCTTCAGACAACTTGCCCTGAAATTCTGAAGTTTCTCTCAAACAAACTCAGAACTTTTCTCCCAGAAGAAAACATTGTCTTTCTGCTTTACACACCTTTCTCTGAAGAATTCCAATTTAGAAAAAAAAATCTTTCAAACCTTTTATAAATATATTGTGGTTTATGCAAAAAAAAAGTATAATTTCCTGAGGAACTGAAGGAAGAAACCGTCCACTGGACAACCCTATTTACCACAAGCACATCACAGCTCTGGATGCAACAAACCCTCTTCTCTACATCCACAGGGGAGGGCATTTCGCTTCCCTGTGGAGTTGGCCCTAGTCATCCTGCAACGTTACAGGAAGCACAGACCTAAGCTGGTTAATTAAAAAATAGGCAACATAGCTGGCCATTCACAAGCTGAATCTGTTCAGAGGCACTGGCCAGCAGATGGATGGGGTCCTGTGCCGATTGTGTTTGAACTCTAAAGGAAATTCAGTTTTTGATGGATGATGTTATCAGCTAAATGTCTTATGTGGTATAAGATCAAAGAACAGATGGAAATTATGCCTTAAAAATAGAATAATCTAAAAGGGGAATGGCCTGTAGTTGAGTAAGCATCATGGAAACAATAAAGGAGACTTTCTTTGGCTTGCCTTGCTGCAGAGCCATGTTTGACTGGTGGGACAAACAAATGACCCACTTAGGACTGAGATTCTTGGGATGTGGGTTTTGCTGCACATTTTTTCCCTCATATTCAGTGTTTACATTGTTTTGCCTCTTATGTCAACCTTGGGTTTCTCTCACCAAATGTGTGTGTCCCAGCTCTCTGCTTCCTCTCAGGTGCCACCACAGTCACCCAGGGTGGGTGATGGTAGAGCTCACCAGCATCTTTGCCTTGCTGTAACTGCAGGATGAAACATCACTGATAACCTGGCACTAAACTTCCCTTAAACAGACAGACTACACACAGCAATCTTTTTTAATTTAGCCAACACCTTCCTTTAAAATGAAGGCTATTGGCCCTTTGGTCATTGTTGTGTTGTCTCTCTTTTTCCATAGGCAAGAAAGTGATTTATACATTCCAGTTATTTACACTAAGGACCTGCCATGTGCAAGGCCTTGCTAAGTAGCTCCTGCATGAAATCCTTCAGGAGACAGTAGATATCCTACTCATGGACCTTGTTGAAAATGTTGCTTTAAATTTTTTTACTGGTACAGCTTAGGTTTCTTTGTGTCATCTACAGGTAACAATATCTGTATTAATTTTTGTTGGGTGCTAAGCATACTTTACACACTCAACAATTATCAATAATACCTCTAACAGTGGAATTTTTGAGTGCTCAGAACTTTGCTACCACAACATAAATTCCCAATACAGGAAAATAAGCAAAATTTTTCAAAAAATTTGAAGTGACTTTAAATTTTTTTATCTTCAACTTCCAGACCCTGTTTGGCAGCCAGTGGAAGTTAATCAGCAATTAATTGACTGCACAGGCTGGTGACTTATAAACTGACACTCTCATTCGTGGCCTTCTGAATGAACTTGCACAAGATCACAGGCACAAAAGTAGAAACATCGAATGTAGCCTCCCCCCACCTCAAGAACATTATGGCCCATAACTTTTTCATAGCTGTTCATAAATCTTCAGCCTCTCTCAACTTCTGTGACTTAATCCCACCCATAAAACCAGTCATTTTGAAGAAACAAATAAAAGTGGAAAGCACAGGAGCTCAGAGCTCAGTTTTCAAAGACGATTAGACATCTGAGATGACCCCAGGTATTAGATAATATTTCCAGAAGATTTAAGGTATCTGCTCCTATCAGTTCTGATCTGAGTTCCCTTCAGAGGGAGTTTATCTCACTTCAAAGTAGTTGCCTGAAAACGAAGTGTAGGCTCTTCCAGCAGCAAATGTAGAATTTCTATCCCAAATTACTTTCAGTATAAGCCCATTTCAGATTGGCATCAATTGCAAATTTTCTCTCTGTCAACAACCACAAATATTCTACTGACTCAGTTGAGCTAAATATCAATCTTTTTAAATAGAGAAAACCATGTGAGATAAATCTGTCTTTCAAGGACTCATGCTGTAATTTTGAAGAGATGGAGATCCAACTCTGCATGGAGTTCTACCAATCTCCCTAGTTCAATCCCCATAAATTACATTGGAGACCTGCAACCCTCATTTGCAGATTTCCTTATTCCACCACCGTATGACCTACAAGACTCATGTTTGTCCTCGGAGAAGTATTGTACTGCCACTACCTGCAATTCAGTGGGATCCAATTGTTTGCCCTGTTGGCATCACCAAGCTCAGTGTTGCTTCCTCAAAGGAGCAGGATTTCATGTCTCCATCATGCATGTGTTGTGAAATGCATTCAGACTTGTGCAGCAAAATCAATAAGTTGTTTTCATCTGAAGGATTTTACAATGCTGCCACTTTGTAGTCTTCCCCGGGCAATTTTTACATTCTGAGACAGTGGATAACAGACCTCCATGTCCAGACCTCAAATGTGCTGTCAGAACAGGCACTACTTGGTATTTGTGCTGGTTGTGCCTGCAAAGATCATGAAAGGAGTACACATGCAAGGACAGTTTTTAAATGTAGATATATACGCATGCACAGACTATTGCTGCAAGCAGTTAGAGGGAGTAGGATGCATTGGAATGCAGTTCAGGGAAGGACAATGCTTTGTTCCATTACTGAATTGGTGAAGGATGTTTTATATTTGGGGATTGGCCATCAGTATTCTTTTCATAGTTGGGAATGTAGGAGGAACTGAAAGTATTGTATTGACAGTCTACAGCAATAAGCAGCATAATACTTACATAATGAATATATACTTCATGCAGATAAGAGGTACCCAGAATTCTTAGAGGAAGTATTTTCTATCATTTTAATAATAATTAAAAAATATTAGCCAAATAATATTCCCAATAAATAAAATTACACACCCGCATACAGCAATGCAGGACAAGGTGACACAAAAGTCTGTTTAGGCACTCAGCATTTTTCATCTCTTCTTTCTCCCCATGCTGCTTTATTCACATTTGTTATGCAAAGATATTTACGTGCCAAAACACACATATTCTTCACTAACCTGAATGTACCATTTCTTTCAATGTTTATATGTATCAATGAATGTGAGTTGTTAAGAAATAGTATCTGGAAATGTTTTTTGGTTATTTGTACATGCACAGTTATTACAGCAAGACTCCCTTCATCTAGGGAATAAGGCTGCTACGGAAAAGACCGTGAAAACTGGTGAAAGACTGAACTATTTTCCCACTCATTTTGTGACAGAAGTCCAAAAGACATATTGCCTGTGGACAACAGCCTGTAGGTTGACTTGAAAATGTGACTCTCCCACAAATTTTTCAACTCCTTTTAAATCCCCTACAGGATCGCTGGCTGAGCAAGGGGCAGCACACCCTCACTGGATAGCAAGAACATGCTGTGCCTCCTCAGACTGCCAAAGTGTGGGTTCTTTGGTGTCCCTCTACAGGGCAGCAATAAGATGCAATATTCCTACCTAAGTACTGCAGCTTCTTACATGCCCCAGAAATTGCCCAGAATTTTAATTTTCTTTGAGACCTCAGCCTTGCTGTTAAAATTGGTTGAATTTGGGCATCTGGTTGAAAAACTAAAAAGAGAGACTAACATCAAGGCAGAGAGAAAAAAAGGCAATTTAATCCTATCAGAAAAGCATAAATAAGAGAGTAAAGATATCTCTTTTCTACCTTCAGGCTGCTGGTAGGTAGAGTGTCTTTCCTCTAGAAGAGACTGGGGCCACCACGATCCCTATTCCCATCACCCTTGGAGTGACTGGCTGCACCTCTCTGGTGCCCTTTGCCACTACTTTATACCTAATAAAGACAGAGGAAAGTTCCTGTGTTTCCCTGAAATTCAGCAACATGAATGAGACTCTTGGGAGATTTATCCACCCTCCCTGAAGGCAGCTATCTCAGTCTCAGCTGGGCTCCTCTTATTGTTGGTGGAAACCACAAATGGGTACTGCCTGAAGGGCTGTTCACTTGCTCATGATAAGATGAGGTGGAACTGCCCTTTGACAGTACCTATTTATCTCTATTAATAACAAAGAGAGCCAAGAGTGAATGGTTCAGATTTAATCATCCAGCTGTTTAATGCCTTGGTTAGGGCAGATGAATTCCACCTTTAAGGTTGTTTCAAATTATCTTATAAGCATATGTAGTAGATATGTAACATTCCAGGTAACTGTAGTTGCACATGGGTCAATGTTAAATATCTCACTTTGTTTGCCAAGGCTGCAGGGAAAGTTTTGCATCAAACAGTGTGGGATAATGACACTTGATGTGCAGTG